TTAGAAGTGTGTTAAAAAAAAAAGGTGAATCTTCTAAAATATCAAAAAAATATTTTACATGAAATAAATTGACCAAAATACCCCCGAAAAAGTTTCGGGGGTATTTTGGTCTTTTTTACGAATAATTTTTTTTATATTTTATTAGGTATGCCTTGATGAGAAGAACACACACGTAAAATTTCAAGTGATTTAGATTTGTAGAAAACATAAATAAAATTCAAACACTACCGAACATCTGTGATCATCAGACCAGCCCAGATTCAATCTGGGCCGTTGGGCTCATATGTTCATATGAGCTAGTGGGCTAACCCGGGCTTTTTCATATATATATATATATATATATACATTAGCTCCTGAAATAGTACAAGCCCAATGGCCCAGATTGAATATGGGTCGATCTGACGGTCCGAACTGTATATCGGTAATATAATTTAATTATTTTTTTATAAAAATCTAAATAGCATGAAATTTGGAGCATAAACTCTTCTCATCAAGGTGCACCTAATAAAAATATTTTAAAAATAAGTCGTATAAATTAAATTGACCAAAATACCCCTGAAAAATTCAAGGGTATTTTTATCAATTTAATTTATACAAATTGTTTTTTAAATATTTTTATTAGATTCTATTATTCTTAAAGAATAGAAACTCCAAATTTCAAGTAATTTGGATTTGTAGAAAAAAATATTAAAACTCAATTATGAAATACAATTGTGATCATTGGATCGGTCCATATTCAATCTGGGTTGTTGGGCTTACATTGTTCTATGAGCCCATGTGCTTACAGGAGTTATATATATATATGAAGATACTACAAAACGCCTATAGGCAAAAATAAACAGTGAATTCGCCTACCCTCATCACCGTCCAAAGTTCATTTCACATGTCTGGTAGTGTTTCATTTTTCATTGTTTTTGTACAAATCAAAATGACTTGTAATTTGGAGCGTGTGTTCATAAAAAATAGTTGAATCTACTAAAAATATCAAAAAAAATATTTTATATGAAAAAAAGATCAAAATACCCCGGAAAGGTATTTTGTCAATTTTGTTTTGGTGAATTATTATTTTTTATT